TAATTTGCATAATTAATTAATTTTCAGCTTTTGATATTTCAAGTAGTAATCATTACATTTCAATGAAATTTGGTACATAGATGTCATAGGACACTGCACAGACCTGATAGTTTTTAGGGTAATATCAGTATATATTAATTAGCTAATTTGCGTAATTAATTAATTTTCAACTTTTGATATATCAAGTAGTAATCATCATATTTCAATGAGACTTGCTGCATAGATCTTCTAGGATTATGCAGAGACCTGATTAGTTTTAATTTGATATTAATTACCTAATTTGCATAATGTTCCACTGATATATAAAGAACCACAAATTGGATTTTAATGAAACTTTTAAAGAGAACTATGCAGAAACCCAATTAGTTTTTGGTAAATATTTATGCTTATTAATCTCCGAATTAACATAATTAATTAACACTGATATCTCAATTACTGATCATCACATTTGAATAAAATTTGGTACATAAATGCTCTAGAACAATAGACAGGTCTGATTAATTTTGGGTTAAAATTTGTTCATATTAATTCTCTAATTGGCATAATAATTCATAATTTTTTTGTTCTGTTCTGTTCATATTAGTTACCTGATTTACATAATTAGTTTTCGCTTTTCCATCAATATCTCATGTACAAGTAATTTTGAATTAATTTTTAATGTGTCTTCAATACTCTCAGCACACGGGAGTTCTTTCTAAGCTTTCTTTGATTAATGAGTTGAATGTAAAGTATGGGGAAAAAAGCTGCATTTTATTTTCTCTGAATCATCTTTTCAGTGAAAATAGCAATAATAGATACCAAGCACTAATAAATAAATATTTTACAGTATATGCTTTGTCAATATGAATTGCCACAGGGTTGAACATGAACCAGCTTTTTCATAGACAACCTAATTTGCATTAGGATTTATAGAAATGCAGATTTGTTTTGCTGTTTAGTGCTGGGGTCGCAATTTACAAGACTTCTTCAGTTCATGTGTCACATGACCAACAACTAACCAATGGAACTTCTTTGTTCTTTATTTTGCAGGTCCTGATCACTGTGGTGATATTATTTGTACAGTATGTCAGGAAGGATCATCAGAATCACCAAATGAAATTGTTATCTGTGATAGATGCAATTTAGGTCAGTATTTGGTAACTCTAGCTACCATACCCATACCAAGTAATGGTATAACCCACCTTTATGCTCTTTGTCATTAGTTTGTGGTAAATTGAGATAGTTTGTGGTAAATTGTGATTTTTGTTCAAAATTTACTGAATTGGAAAAAATTACATTATGATGTATCAGTATATAGGAAATGTTTTGTGCTCTTATTTTTCACATATGCATGTACTGACCTAACAATAAAACAACTCCAGAGAGCAGCCAGTTAGTCCCGCAAAGTAATGGTATAATCCAACTTGTATTACTACTATTATTATTATTTATGTACATGTGCAGAACAGTGGGAGATATATTGTGAATAAAACTGAGCTGTGTTGTGCATATAACACTGTGCAAAGTGCATATAAGATTGTGCCTTTTTGTATATACATGTATAATGCAGGGTCCTGTTGTTCATAACACCAGGCTGTATTATGGTGGTGTGGTAGCCAGAGCCTTCATTGAAACCAAATTAGAATGTGCTTTCAGCATGCATTTATTGTGATTGTGCATATTACATCTAAAATAATTTGATTTCTTTAATATATGGGAAAGGTTTTCATGGTCTCTCTATGTTTAACTATAGGTTATCACCAGACATGTCACAGACCAGTGATAGGTGATGATGTACTCAAACCTGATGTACAATGGCATTGCAGACAGTGTGTGTTTGCTACCTCTGTCAAGATTGGTGGTGCCTCAAAGAAAGGACCCAATGCCAAAATGTTCCAAGATATGAAGAAATCACTGCCCTATAGTCTCAAAGCATTATCCTGGGATGGTAGCCATAGAAACAATACACAACAGTGTTACTGTTATTGTGGAGGCCCTGGGGAGTAAGTACCTCTATCTTAATCATACATGTTTTATTTCTTGTATTAATGTAGTCAAAAAACTATGATTTCACAACTGTCTATCTATCTATCTATCTACAGTACAGTTCTCGCGGAAGCTTTGGCTTTTGTGGCATCATTGTCGCATACGCATGGCTTCATTGTCGCCTCAGCATCGCATCATTGTGCATCAGCTTCGCGTCATTGAAAATTGAAGCTGTGTTCGCCTCTCTTATTTTGAGGCATCACCGTGGCCTCAGCTTCGCAGTCTCATGGCATCAACATGGCATCAGCTTCAAAGTATTGTGACATGAGTATGACCTCATTATTTTCACATGGAAAGGCAGTAGAGAAAAAACACATGTACAGAAGTTCGATATGTAATCGATTTGAAATTCAAAGCAGTAAGGGGAATAAAATAATATGACCAAGAGTAAAATGACATTTTAAAAAGATATCTTAAATTTTTTAATATTGCGAGTATTGGGTACCAAAAACTATGTGAAGTATATTGCAATCTGCAAGGTGACGAGCGTCATATTGACTGCAAGGAAAATCGTGATAAATTTAAATCACACGAAGCAATCGTCGTTCGGAAACAACACAATTTGGCATACGAAATGAAACTGTTCTTGTAATAAAATTACCTTATTTTCGTTCATTTTATTTGCTGGTAAGAGAACAGATTCAGATTCCTCATTTTGGTGGTATTTTTCTGTGTTTCGTTTAGCTTTAGCCGAGTCCGATCCCATGCCCGGACTACTAATACACGCCTGCCATCTTGATACAAAGTTCCAAAACAAGTGCGTACATTTCCAACTATGATTGGATGGCTGTGGTGGCGTCGGTCTGATAAAATTTTACATCCAATTTTCAAAATTAAGTCACGATCAGTGACCTGAGCTCAATCTATACATACTTTAAAAGTATTCTCACAACAAAATATTTTCGAATAAAAACGAGCCACAGGCCTGGTAAAAAATCGAATAGCACTTGACGTGCAGAAATAATTTATTGGGCTTCAGAAAAAAAGTGTTCATTTAGTTGTAGCTGTAAATATTTGGTGACCAGTCGATGAACAATTTGAAACTCATTATACACACGGAAGTCCTTCGATACTGAATATCATCGACCCCAATCTG